CCCCCAAAATCCCCTCAAATTCCCTTAAAATTCCCCCAAAAATTCCCTCAAAATCCCCTCATAATTCCCCCCAAAAATTCCCTCAAAATTCTCCCCAAAATCCCCTCAAAATTCTCCCCCAAATCCCCTCAAATTCCCTTAAAATTCCCCCCAAAAATTCCCTCAAAATTCCCTCATAATTCCCCCCAAAAATTCCCTCAAAATTCCATCGAATTCCCTTAAAATTCCGCCAAATTCCCTCTAATTTCTCCCCCAAAAATTCCCTCAAGATCCCCTCAAAATTCCATCGAATTCCCTTAAATTTCTCCCCCCAAAATTCCCTCAAATTTCCCGCCCAAATTCCCTCAAAATTCTCCCCAAATTCACCCAAATTCCCTCAAGTTCCTCCCCAAAAATTCCCTCAAAATTCCGCCAAATTCCCTTAAAATTCCCCCCGAATCCCCTCCCCCCCCCCCCTTCCCGGTACCGCAGCGCTTCCATCGCTTCCTGGGGGGGGAGGGGCAAAGTCCAAAAGGGCGATGGTGACGTCACAGTTACGTCATTACCTGGGGGGGGAAATCCCCCGGGGAATTCCTGGGAATTGAGGGTTGGGGATTTTGGGGGGGGGGGAGGAAATTTGGGAATTGGAGCCCGAAATTGGGGATTTCGGGTCGGAAATTTGGGGATTGGGGCGAAGGTTTGGGAATTCTGGTGAAAACTTGGGGATCGGGGCGGAGATTTGAGGGATTTGGGGTGGAAATTTGGGAATTTGGGGCGGGAATTTGGGAATTCGGGGCCCAAATTTGGGGATTTTGGGGGGGTGTAAAAATGGCGGCGTCCCCTCAGGGACGCCAGGCCCCGCCCCCAACAGCGGCTTCCCGCCCTTTCCCGTCTCCTAGCAACCGATTCCCGCCCTTTCCCAGTCTCCTAGCAACGCCCCCCCAGGCCCGGTTCCCGCCCTTTTTCCCGTCTCCTAGCAACCCGCTCCCGCCTCGCCGCGGCGCTGACGTCACTTCCGTCGCGCTGCAAGATGGCGGCGGCTGCGGGCGGCGGGCCCGGGGAGGCCCCGGAGGCTCCCGGGGGTCCCGGGGGGGGTCCCGGGCCCGGGGGGGGCCCCGGGGGGGGGCCCGGAGCCGCTCGGGGCCCCCCGGGAGCG